ATAAATAATTTTCCCTGCCAAGGCCCATCGTATTTGTCCACACCCTCGCAGGAAATAGATGGCAAACCCATTTTATAAATAGTTTTCCCTGCCAAGGCCCATCGTATTTGTCCACACCCTCCAGCTCTTTGGCAGAGGGAATGGTTTATAAAATAGTTTTCCCCTACCAAGGACCATTAAATCCATTGGCAAACATATCAAAAAATCCAGATACTTCCGAAATCCGACACAACCCTTTGTGTTTTATAAAATGAGTATCCATCTGCAGCATGATTTTATTCTCTCACATCCTTACTTGTTTATAAAATGAATAACCATGTCCCAGCTGTTTCTATGTTTAAAAAAATCCCTGTTTATAAAATGTTCACAGGATCCGAACCGACCTGTTTATGACATGAGGGCCAGGATTTTAGAGGCTGTTTTTTTGAAATTCCGATTTCCGGCAACATTGTGATCGTTATGAAATGACCCCCAAAAAAGTCATTTTATAGGTTACCAACATCCCCATTTCATAAGGACTTGTGCAAGGGGGATTGGCAAACTATATAATTGCGCAAAATGTTGCAAACACACACACACACTCTGACACTGGTTTTCAGTTAACGCAATTGTCACGTTGGGAAGGAAGGTGAGAGAACGGAAAGGTGCATGGGTCCGATCACTTGAAAAGTTTAACATTGTTGTCACAAGGCGGCAGCAATCAAACCGGCGGCGCAGCTGCTGGGGACGAGTAGGTTTGGGGGTGGTAGCATGAAGAACCATGGAATCAAACAAAGCCAATTAGACAGCGTGGTCAAAAGTTCAGCAGGTACGCAGGGCTGATCAGGCCCTGCTTCCCACTCCCGCCCACAGCTTCGTTGCGTGTGGTAGGGCGGGAGTGCCACACGCCCCTGCCTGATTGGAGTGGTCGAAGGAAACCCTTTGTCCAGGGGTGGACACACACAAGTTGCCGGCTTCGGCGCTTTTTCAAGACACCCCCTACCGTTGAACCAGTGGACGAAAAGCTTTTTCCCAGGGGTGGACACACACACAGAGCCGTTTTCGGCGCGGTCAAAGTAGTAGTAAGGCCAGGGGCCTCCAGTAGCGTCCAAACTCCCAGGGGAACATTTGTACAAAAAGCGCCAAATTGTTGGCGCAACGAAGAACTAGTAGACACCTAAAAAGCCTTAGAAAGACAGAAAAAGCAACGAAACAAGAGCAGACTAAGAGGGCAAGAAAGAAAAGTAGGGTAGTTACGAGGCCCATTTAGTTAAACGAAAGTAGAAGGCGAGCGGGACATTCGTCTTAAACCGCCCGGGTAGCTAGCAATAGCTAGGAGAAACAGAAGGAAAGGCACCAACACACAAGTGTGTTGAGTGCGATTTCCTTCTGTTTCCCGAGTAGCGGGTGGGATAGCAACGGAGGCCTGGGGTAGGGAGGGGGGGGGGGGTGTGCATGATGAATTCATCCGGCCTGTGAATACTTAGCAGCGCAGGCATGTGAATACTTAGCCGTCAAGTATGCTCAGGCTAGCGAGTTTGAGTTCTTCAGTCTCCGAAATCTGATGTATTCGACAAGAACCGTTTTTTGGCCCGGCGGCCAGTGTGTCAGTTGATTCGGTGAGGGTGTCGGTGACTTCCTGTGAAAGTCCGGTGAGTGGTGGTGCTTTGTGGTTGTTGCTTTCCCATGTAAGAGCGGCGCCCCAGTGACGGGGATCACACTCAGCACCCGAGTGGGACGGCTGAGCGAAACACACTCTGACACTGGTTTTCAGTTAACGCAATTGTCACGTTGGGAAGGAAGGTGAGAGAACGGAAAGGTGCATGGGTCCGATCACTTGAAAAGTTTAACATTGTTGTCACAAGGCGGCAGCAATCAAACCGGCGGCGCAGCTGCTGGGGACGAGTAGGTTTGGGGGGTGGTAGCATGAAGAACCATGGAATCAAACAAAGCCAATTAGACAGCGTGGTCAAAAGTTCAGCAGGTACGCAGGGCTGATCAGGCCCTGCTTCCCACTCCCGCCCACAGCTTCGTTGCGTGTGGTAGGGCGGGAGTGCCACACGCCCCTGCCTGATTGGAGTGGTCGAAGGAAACCCTTTGTCCAGGGGTGGACACACACACACACACACACACACCTATGGAATCCTATGGAATCCTCATGGAATCTATTTGCTTCATGCCATTTGCTCATGATGGTGTGAAGTTTGTTGAACTCGACGGCCGGGGCTCATTGGCCCGGCCCCTTTCACGGCCGGGGGCCGATACGGCTGCGGCGCGCCCGGCTGGCGAGACCGGTGAGGCTCCGTTTTCAGGCAGGAATACTGATGCACATGATGCCACCCAGCATCAGGTGCATCATGTGCATAGTGGTGGCGGTGCGTTCCGCCCCGGCTATGGTATGGTTGATCGACAGTTGCACAAGCTGCTGGCTCACAGCTGTCTGTCTTCTTGTCACTGTGCAGCATGAGCCGTTGCAAGGACACAGCCCTCAACAAATTGGTCTGGTTGGAAAAAAGTATTCAACCTTATGCAAGAACATTCGACGATCCAGGCATCAAAAATGCTTTTGGGAAAAGAAAGGGTTTCATCCGTATTGGCAGGTGAGGCGACATACTTGGAATGATTGACTGGTTCATGGACTGTATATCTGAACAAACTGCGACGATATCACTCAGAACATCCCTGAACACTGACTGTTGCTAGGGGCTCAATGCTTCCCGAACAAATGATCAACAAGATTCTCTTTAAAATCGGGGGTGAACTCCTAGTGTGAAACCAAGAAAGGCAGAAGTCAAGGTGACCAGGCGACCTGCGAAACATACACACGTGCAGTGCTGAACCAAAACATCCTGGCACAATAGATCGGAATCAGGACCATATCCTATACCAATTGTTTCCCCATGTTTCCCCCGATCCGGAACGCTCCCTCCTGAGCAACAGCTACTGTCGAGTGATTTTGTTCCTGGCTCGCCTTCTCAGCCAGCTGCCTGCACATCTGAGCCGCATCCTCATCCAGCCAACGGTAGGAGCAGGAGACCCACAACTTTCCTGGGCGCATGATGCATGGCGCACTTGTTGCCCTGCCCTGGCGCACTTGACACACTTTGTCTTGTATTGAACTTAAACATCACCAGCCCACTCAACTTAGCCCACTCAAACCCGAAATTGCCGCTAAGAACTCTCACCAAGATCAATCTCACTTAATATATATTTATAAACAAAACAACACTGCTTCGAATATCGTCAAACAACATCCCACACATTCCCACACCCAATCAAGACATCCTGTCACACTCACTGGTAGTCACGAGGGCAATAACATGTTGACAGTTGACATCACTACACCAGAATCTCACCGAAGTCATCCACCTCCTTTTCGACCAACTCCGTCCTTTCCACCAAGCGTCTGCGCCCCCCGCCGCTCGCCACGCCCAGCGCCGCCGCCGTCGCCCGCACGGCGCCGGCGGCGCCGGCGGCGCGCACCGCGGCCGTGACGTCGCAGCGCTGCGCCGCGTCGCTCGGGGAGCCGAACCTCCGGTGAAACCGCGTGGCCGGGTAGGTGAGACCAGGTTTTACCTAATCTTATCTAATCTAATAAGTGATCCTAAATGAAAAAGGTGTCTAGCTATAGTAGCAACATGGGACCTCAAAGTGAAACCAGGCCCCTTTCTGTGACTGGTTGGAGGAGAGGTGGAGTCTTGGGGCAAAGCAATGCAAGTTCATGCGAATTCCCATGTGAACTGCCCACCCTGCCCGGCACAAAACAACTAGACTATAATACAAAAGGATTCTGGTATAATCTGACTGAACCATGGTCATGAAGGAAGGGATGACAATCAAAACCAAGCCAACAAGAATATGTTGTTGGTGGAGCAGAACCTTTAGCCGAAAGATGCTGAGGGACATTTCTAAGATACAGCGGTTTGAGACTAGATGGCACAACCTCCAAGATATCCAAACTAGATGCGGATCCATCTAAACCACTCAAACTTGGGGGCCCAAGCGTGCCTTTGAACCTCTGAAACCACGCTCCAAGGTTACTTATCTCGAGCCTTCGTCCTACGCTCCTGGAATCCGACCAGCCTAGCGCTCCAAGGAAACGCTTTGCAAAGACCGGAACGAACTACCCGGTAGGACGAAGAAATCAAGGGATCTTCATCAACAGATCCAACGATTCAACAAAAACGCTAAAATCAGAAACAAAAGCAACCTGAAATGCCTGACTGGTGCCACTGGCTTCCCGGTTTCATGCTTTAAAACCCGTTTCCTAAAGTATCTTCACACCTCACGAATTGATGGTTCACTGATGGTTCGTCTTGGAATCTGAAACAACAGTTCCCTCCAAACAGTTCAGTGAAGGAACCAGGGAGGCTTCACCAGAACCTATTTAGCTACCTCCTTCAGGTACCTCCACCTCCTTCAGGTGATAATAGCTTCCCTGCACTCCTTCAGTTCACTCCCCTAGGGCTCCAACTACCTGAGAAGATGGTTGGGGTGGGTGCCAGGAGGGTCTAACCACCTTCGGATATGGTTGGAGCTTCACTCCTTCAGTCTTCGCTCCTTCGTCTCCAAGTCGCCATGCTTCTGAAATCTCCAACGCTCCGATCGCATCGCCCGGTGCCTCGAGCCTGGTGTCGACGGAAGCGAGCAGAGCAGAGTGGTTCTCCAGAATCGGAGAATGGAGTATGCAAGGGCCGAACTCAAATGTAATAGGTACTATATAGGCACATATGGAGGGTACATATATATTATATAGGTACATAGGACTCCTCATAGGTACAGATAGGCACCAAGGTCTCCATCTCCGAACTGAGTCCACGTTGTTTTGGGTGAAAACTGTTTTAACTTCTGAGCCGCTGGGATTGGGAAAACACTATAAAAGCAGCATTTAAACATCACTATCCCTAGGGATCCAGTCGTGCCTCCTCAACAGGTACTTGGACCCTTCAAGCCCACCCCAGTCCCACCGAACCTCAGAGGGTACGACTGGATCCTTAGGGTATAAACCCTAAACCATCCGGATACCCTGACATGGAAGTGGAGGGAGTTCACCACTCAGCCAACTGGGAGTTACGGAACATGGTCTTCCAATGATTCCTTGTATTTCTTGGCATGAATATGGCCACGTGCCTTGGCATGAACATCCTGCACTCTCAAGATGATACGGATCTGAGATATTCTGAGGTGATCACTGCAGTATACCTAAAGCTCCAGCACCCCCCTCACCATGCTGTGTGTCAGTCTTGGCGTTCTTCTCTTCGTGCCGGATTCGTTCTGCGCGGAGCCGAGGTTGTAAATCACCGACAACTTCGACGAGGGTCTACTTTGCTCACTATCCCCAAAACCATCCCTGATCAGCATATATGGCACACATGGAGTGTCTGCGATCAAGTTTCCGATTTACCTCCGACCTCTAAAAGGGTCAAGAAGAGGCCGTTGGCTCTATTGGACCCTCTGAGGGCAGGCCTCGTTTCTGCTTCCCTTGCTGCTTATACATAGGACCTCTGTATGGGCACACGAAGAAGTCCACAGGACCATCTGTGGTTTGCACTTGGGCGTTTGCCGCCACCCCAATGGCCTCAGTGTTTGGTACTCCCAGCACCAGCATTCCACGCGACAAATGCCCAGCTGGGCATGTGGAGCTGCATCCGACATCTTGCCATGGTGGACATGAGGTCCAACCCCAGGCGGTCGGTCGTCTGTGGCGGGTAGCTGATGTCTGCTGAGGCGGAGTGGGGGGTGAGGTCGTTCAGGGGGTGATGGCTTGGCCCCACAGTCTGACACGATCCAATTTGGATGGCGCTTCTGCTGGTGGTTTGTATGCTTTCCTTACCAACCGGAAGGTGTTCGGCGATGAAGATTTGCTTCAAAGAAGTTAAGAGGGAACACTTGATTTCATTGTTTCCAATGTGTTGCAAGCAGCTGCACTTTAAAGCACGGTCTGACTGAAGAGGTGTCCCCCACTTCGCTGGGGCAGGCTTAGCGGACACGTGCTGATGCTCAAATCGTATAATTTCAGACAACAAATGCCCAAAAAGCATCAAAAAACAGTCTTTCTCTCAGGATGCTTCATGATTTTTTTGGGCCAGATGCCATTTCGGTGAAGCCAACACAAAAGACAATCATTCCACAGCATTGCACTCGTGACGCGCTTGCCACGGACGAACGCAGAGTTCGGGGCCGTTCGAACTTCGAACGGCTGCGAAACCGACAGCGGCTGCGGTCCTTTCGATCCAGTAGTCACTGTGGAGAGGCCACTATAGTCACTCACAAATATGGGAGTGAGTGCAGTATCGGTTGCAGGGTTGAATGAATCCCCTTCAAGAAAAAACACACCAAAGTATTATGGGTTGCCTCTGTCAGGTCTGTTCTTTGGCAGTGGCGAGTTGTCATGAGTTGTAACATGTCGATTCCACACATTCTGGCAAGCAGCTAGGCACGAGTTCGTGTAAAAGATCTTCAAACACGATGTCACCGAGCAATGAACAACCCTTCTTCTTGAGCATTGACATCCTTATATATCCTGGTTGAAACTTACATGGTGGACATAAGGATAATACCCCATGTTGTACCATAAAACGGTTTTGGTCTTGCAACATGCAAGGCGCATCTGTTCGTAAGGGAAATTTCAAAGATGATCCTTAACCACTCTTGAGTCCAACACATGGGGACCCACCAAAAGGCTTGTACAAAGCTCTATGACTAGACTACTCCATAGAGGCCTAGGTGGGAGTCAAATGTATCCAAGATCATCCAAGCGATTTCCATGGCCTGCAACTGCAACTGCCATCAAAATCAAGTTGATCTTGTTCCAACCTGCCTTTCTCCGACTCCGAGTCGCTTCCAATCTTCTGGGGCCTGAGACTTGTCCAGCGAAGTAGGTGGCGCGCATGTTTTGCGCAGTCAACATGGCCCTGTGTATGACGAGTTCATCTACAAAGTGGTTTTCCAGTCCATGATTCATGCTATTTAATGCTTATATTTCAGGGATTTTCACGGAGCATCTAGCGTACCAAGCAAAGCTCCGCAGCCGACAACAACATGTACTCCAGGATGCAAACACCCCTGAGCGATCTAAATCTCAGGATCTCGTTTTCAAGCGGTCTTGGAACACCCTTCCAGCATCTTCCGCCACGTTTCCCTGATTGGCTATTAGATGCTATTAGTGCCACACCCTGATAGGCTGACTGGTTTGAGCCCTTATGTCGGTCACCAGTGGAGCTTTTCGTTCGAGGCGTGTGGCTCTTCAATCTTCTCTGGTTCCTCATCATCGTCATCCTGGTGACGCGGCAGCCCTGCCGCGGCTCCCGCCGTGGCTTTCAAACAAACATCCCTGAGCGTTGGTTTCAGTGGTGGTGCGCCGCCCCCAGTGACGAAAACCAAGCCATCCGCTTTGTCTGTCTTGCATGGAAGCTTCTCTTTCAAGGTTCTGACTCTATTAATATGATATTATAACAATTGTTAATATAAATATCTCAGTCTTCAAGTCCTATTCCAGCCAAAATCATCACTGCCAGCACAATATCATAATCAAATGTTGGGCCTATCCTATTAGCAGTAACAATGGATGATGGTTTCCAAAGGCCTTGTTCAAACATTTAGTGATGTGCTTGTTTACTGACTGTTGCAGGTAAGAACGGACAAACCCAAATTAAACGTATAACCACAGATTGCCCCATCTGTTCCTCCCTCCGACGATCTGTTTGCATTTGAGCGACTGGACTCCAGATTTGCCTACTGACATGAACCACAACAAAGAGCCCACTCCAACAACAGGCCTGTGCTTTTCATGTTTTTTGTGTTTTACTTTGCGAAAACTGGCAGGTTCATAGCTTGAACTGCTAGGTTGGTTGGTTGAACCACAGGGTCACAAGTTTTTGTATAGTTCTTGGTGACACTGATGCCAACCCAACCTGCCATTTCTCACAAGCAACCCCCCAACAAAAAAGCAAAACGCTCCTCCACTATATCTTCAGCCTTCTCCTCTGGCATCTCCTCATCTTTCTTCTCCTCTTCCTTCTCTTCTGCTTCTTTCTCCTCCACCTCGATGGGCAACAAACCCAAGACGAACACATCGCTTGACATCGGCTGTGCCATCGAGGTTAGGACACCCCGCCCTGCATCTGCGTTCGCAGTTCGTTACCCACCCAGAAAAGCTCCCAGACTTGCAAATACGCAGCCAGTGAACTTAGAAAAAATGAACAAACAAACACAGCACCAAACGATCAAACACTCAGAAAACCGTGTGATCTCACCCCAGAGTTTGCTACTACAGTAGTTTGTGGACGATACGAAGAATGTCACCACAGGGCGAATTCACAAAATTCCAATGTACCAGGGCCCCCTCAAGGGGTGGTTAATGGACATCGACACCCCTGGCCCGGGGGTATGACCGGAATGCCATATATCCCCCTTTTCTGGTCAAGAATCCTCCTCTTCTTCGTCGTCTTTGGCCTCTTCCGGCTCTTCCTCCTTTTCCTTCTCGTCCTCCGCAAAAACCAGGAGTTTTGTACGGAGGATCGTCTCCCAAAGGATCCAAAAACCAGGATTTGGCAGGCGCTCCTCGGACTCCGGACTCGGACTCTTCGCCTGGGGCCACGGGGCGAGCGTGCCGTGAACTGCGTCTGGGACCTTTGGCTCGGCTCGGCCGGTCCCGGCGGAAGGGGAACAAGGTGAAAGCCCGGCGTTGCCCCAAAACTGATGTGTTTTTGATATATCCCAGACACGACCTGTCCGTGACTGCCGGACTGCCTTCAAAACGGCCTTTCCCGGGGTGGTGTGGTCAATATGGGTCTTTTTGGGGCGGCAGTCCTATGGCAGCCTCATGGAGTGTCTGGGTATGATGTGTGATATCTTTTTGTGCTCTCTGAAGCACCCCTGCTCTCTTTAAAATGGCACGTGATATTTTTAGACGAACCGTTTTTTCTTAAAGCTGGTGCAAGCGCTTTGTATTGGAAGCTGCAAGCTAGAACCTGCTGCAAATCTACATTTAAATCGCGCAACAAACAGGAGAACATCGCCATGGCAGAACATTGGAGAGTCTGAGTCCTGTTGAGACCATGCATGTGCCAAACTTCTACAAATGCCGCCCTCACCTCTGCCACTGGTTCCGGCACAGGCACAGGCCTCAGCCGGCTCGAGCCGGTCTGTAGTGTTTGAAGAGCACTCGGTATGAAAACACATGCATACCAAGACCCTCCTGGCGCTGTTTGGAGAACCTGACAGGTTTCTGGGCATCGGTTATCTGAAGTAACCACCTCCAGGATCGAAGAAGAAACTGTCTAAACATCTTCCAAAACACCTTGCAGTATATACTCTCACGCTTGCACTACCGGAAGGGTGCGCAACTCATGGCCACCGACTCGTCTTTCAAACATCGTCGTGCTTGCCCTGGCAACATCACCTCTGAAATGCCCCGGCACCCTAAAGGTGCAGGTCCCTTGCTTGGATACAAATAGTGTCATATCAACTTGCAAGAATCGCTGAGGAATGTGGAGTCAGCGTTGCTAAGGGCAACATCGGCTTAATGGCTTACAGCGGTCTCAGAGTAGATGGGCACAAGGGCCCCCAAGATTGTTGGTTTGTGGAGACCCCTATCAACAAATATGTATTGAAGGGTTTGTGCATTTTTGTGCCATTCATTCATGATATATATGGTGGTTGATCAATATTCTTTCATCCTGGAATGGCCATTCATCGCGGAAAAAAAGATATCTTTCGCGGATCTTTCGCGGCCTCATCGCGAAGCATGGTCCTACAACCATGTCTAGCCAACATGAGCCGGAACATGTCATAGTATCACAAAATAGGTAGAGACATCTTGCAGCATGACCCCAGTAGATGGTTGAACGTTTCCACAGCTACTCAGGGTCACTTGCAACATCTGTTCGACAATTGTGCCAAATAGAGTCAGGCACAACTCAACCCAATCCTCGCGCCAGCTACCAACACAGGGTGATACAGCTTGGGGAATGTTGGGGGGCCTCAAGCTGGGAACCTAGACTTTAGCGGCACATTCGCGAAACTTTCGCGGATCTTTCGCGAAATTTCACTGGCGCTTTCCCCGGGAAGCCGTAACATTTGCAAACATCTGCGCAGCCCGTCAGAGCAGCTGCAGGTCGTTGCCTCACTGTCAGGGCTGTGCCTACCCAGATTGCTAGCCTGTGACAGTGGGGACAGGAATCGGAGAATCCTTTACGCACTGCCAGGGCTCGGCACGGAAATGTTGAGGCTTCAGTTCGTTAGTCTGTGACATATGGGGACACTTCCGCCCACTGGCTCTGCCGGAGGATTGCCTTGCGTTTCTATTCTTTGTCAGTCCGGTAGAAAGGAAAACAATGAAAGCGGTGACCTTCGATAAATCTTTCGCGGAAAAAAAAGATACTTTCGCGAACCTCATCGCGAATCTTTCGCGGATGGTTCTAACAACATCTGAAAGGCTGTTTTATATAAAACTCCTTACACGGGGTTTTCGATCAACTCCCATATGTAGGCCCTAGACGCTTGGATTGCAGGCCTCAGGGGCAGGGAGAGGGATGTCCTTCACTGGGCCACAAATCAGCGCCTCTGTGGCGACCTCTGTGGGTGCTCAGACGCTCAGCGCCAAGGGAGACCGAACGTAGCAGGCGTCGGCGTTCCGACACCCTCGGAAGGTCGCGGAACATCGAGCAGTCTATCCATTGGTTGGGAGGTCCCCCCCCCTATTCAAACACACGTCGTATCGTCGTTTCAGCAGCACTGCGGAGGGGCGGAGATCCAACCATTTCACTCATACCTGGAGCTCTGTTCGTAGCCTGCGACGTTGGGGCGTTTTGGACCCGAATCCGAAACGCCAAGTCTGCTGCACCAACCCCCAAACATCTAAGAACTTACACATCTTACACTCCGAGTCACTAGCATGGTAGAGGAGAACGACTAGGCCGGAGAACGCTCTTTCCAGGGGCCATCCATGATTTCAGGGAGTTCATAGAAAAATGGAAAGAAATGGAAGGAACTTGAGCGATGGCCCTGGAGACCTAACTTGCAGAATTGTCATTTTGTACGGAGAATAGTCTCCCAAAGGACATATCCAAAATAGTATCGCTCCCTGGATTCAAGTCATTTTGGAAAAGCGATATCCAAAATAACTTGAATCTCAGAGTCTTACCCTCTCTCTCTCTCTCTGGCAGGCATGACTTGTCCCTGAGCCATCCCACAAATTACTATACCGGAATTTGTTGTTCGATCGAAGAAAGGTCTCCAAGTCATAGACCCATTCCGGGTGCACAGGAAGCCGCTGTTCGATCCGTGGTCGGAGTCCTGACTCATTTTTCCCCACACCCCCGAGGCTTCGAACACCTCTGGTTCAGCCTGGCGAGCTGGTTCCACCGATCAAAGGAATAAGGAATCGGTGCAAGTGGAGTTGGAGTGCTACTAGAGGTTGTTCACCATTTGTTCGCCAGATTTTGCTGCATCTCTTCTGCTGGTTGAAAGTGGCCCTGTTTGCATGGATGGAAGGAATATATAGTATACGTCCAGTATAGTCAACAGTGACCACGGGGATGCCACCACGCTGCACATTGGGCGAACTGGTTTGTAATGCTCTATCTGTGGAAGCAACACGGCTTGTACCCACAATCAACTGCGGAGAAATCAATTTGAAATTGACTCGAATTGTTGGGCCCACCTTGAAAAGGTATGGAACAGGCTGAATATGTATATTTCCGTGGCTGCCAAGCCAAACATCTTCCTAGCATCCACTCTCAACCCTCCTGGAAAGCAAAGGAAACCCCACACAGACCGATCGGAAAGCGCCTAGCGTCCCAGACTCACGTGTTTGTTCTGAAGTCTCCCATAGCGGCGGTTTTTTGACCGATGCGCCCCCATCACTGGCCCGACAAGGGACGCTGCATGGATTTGTCGCAAGCTGCTCGGTGCACCAAGTTCTTCTCAGTCTCAGCTCCCAGAACCTCGCCTCTCTCGCCTGTTACTTGTCAGGCGAGTAGGGACCTCTGGCCAAACCCACTTCACCCGAGCACCTCGGAGTCAGAATCTTCCTTGGGCTTCTTGGGCTTCTCATCCTGCCGGGGTGTTCGGTGTTCCTCCCAGAAACAGGATGAAACAGGATCTCCAAAGGAAGTTCATCCACCTAAATGCCGGCAGGCACAAGTAATATCAATAATCTCCACACCTTGTGGAACAGTGTAATATTGGAGATAGTACTGGAGATGCTGCGCTGGCAGCTAATGATTAATGATATGTCACCACTCATCTTGTAGTTTCTCCTCAAAGCTTCCTGTTGCAGTTGGCATAGCCATCAAGACCAGTAGCATAATTTCAATAGTTTCAAACACATCAAGCAATGTGCCATCTCCCACAGGGAGACTACTATTGGGGAAGGCCTCTGAGTCTGAGTCTTCCTTTGCAGGCTTCTTCTTTGGCTTTTCATCCTGCCAAGGTCATGGGAGGAGCCACGGTTTGGCCAGCAGTCCGTGTGCTAAGACCTTGTATCCGCTTCCCAGGAAAACAAAGGAATCCTCGGAATCGGTCGCCACCGGCTTCTTCTCGGGCTTCTTCTTTGGCTTCTCCTCCTCACGAACAGTCTGGGGGTGAAAAACCATGCTTGTAAGCAGTCCGCCTGAGATGTTCCAAGCTCAGCGAAAATCAGAAGAGCGGCCCATCCGCTTCCCATGAAGCAAAAGAACTGTTGCCTCGGAATCGGAGACCGGCTTCTTCGAGACCGGCTTCTTCTTATGCTTCTCCTCCTCACGAACAGTCTGGGCGGGACTGCCTGGTTAGCTGGAACTCGTTCTAGTTCTTGCCGTTTCACTTGTAGCCCCCGCTGACATCCATTTTGGGACCAAGTGGGCAAACAGCCATCTACTCTTGTGGCACTAGGTGCGCAAACTTCTAAAACTATAGTCTGTTATTGTACTCGCGTAGCTCCTCCTTCTTCTTCTCTTCCTTCTTGCTTACCTTCTTATCCTTCTCCTGGCATCAACACATGTGGGCCTGTGGGCAGTGGTCCTGGAACGTGGAGGTCTCAAATCGGTCACCTCTCCACCGATGGACCTCGTCCCAAGCTGGACGCTCATCCGTCCTCCCGCCCCCCGCGGACC